GGGGGGGGGGGGGGGGGGGGGGGGGGGGGGGGGGGGGGGGGGGGGGGGGGGGGGGTTAGCAGGAGCCTGGCTTCTGAGCTCCCCTCACCGACAGATCTAGCTTGAAGTGTTTGTGCTGTTTAAAATGATGTGGCTTAAAATATGGCTGGGGTCCAGCTGTGAGAGATCCTCCTGAGACCCCTCTCCCCTCTTACCAAGCCTCAAGATGCATCAGGCTCCTGAAGCGGACGCAGATGGGTTGTGAATTGCTGGTCGAGGCGCTGCCCTTCCTGCTCTGTCCTTTAATCCAAATGCCCGGGCACTTCGGCTGCTGCGAAGCTGGGCGAGCTCAGCCAGAACAGCACTTACGAGGCTGTCCTTGGCTCTCCTTCTTGGAGAGCAGTCTCTGGTCTTCCTCTGTAGCTAGAACATTATTCACCGTGTACCTTAGTTGACATTTCCAGACAACAGACTTGTCTGAAGTGGCTAATATTTGATCTCTCTGCCGCACTGCTTTGTGCGAGCCTAGCTGGAGCTCGTGCTGGTGAGGACAACTAAAGAACCGCGATACGGCTCTCTGATACCCTCTGGGTTTACATTGCTTATCCTGTTAAACCTTAACGGTCTCAGTTACAAGCCCCGGTGCTGTTTCAGACGGAGCTTGGGAAAACTCCCAGGTGCAACTCAGTGTTTCCCTAATCGCACTTAAAATATCTGCCCACGTTCAGGGGCTCAATAAGGAGTAAATTTGGCATCCCCGTTCCCTCTGAAGGGATGGTCTCTGGGTTGGGAAACGGGCTTTTCGTTTTGAGAGCCGTCTCATGATCTAAGTCTTCGTGGGGAGGCCGGCCGACCCGCTAGACTGGGTTTTAGCAGCTCCTCTCCTTTGAACTTGGTGCTTGGCTTGCTGCGGGGCTCAGCGGGACAATCCTGTCCTTGCTGTTCTTGGCTGCTTTTGGCCTCGGCCCAGTTACGAGCAGGGAGTTGCTCTTCTCTTCTCAGTGCTTCCTCCTGCCTCCGGAGGAAGCCAAAAATCTTCTGGAATATGAGGAGCAGAGGCTGAATGGAGGTGGAATCATCTTGGGTTTAGGCTTGAAGTCCAGAGGGGGAAAATGTGGGGTAAAAGCTGGCTGGGGAGGAAAGGGGCAGGAGAGATGGGGCTCTGGCGCGCTGGCCTCAAACAGGGCAGGTCTTGTGCCCCGCTCTGGGTGGTGGCGTCTTCCTCTTGGTGCTGCTAAACCTTGGCCACTTGGCACGAAGGTTTGGATGGTTCTGGTGGACCTTGTGGTGCCACACAACTGCACTTGTCCAACTTGCAGCAAGGAGCAATTTTAAAACAGTTACTTCAGAAATTAAGCTTAATTGTGCTTCTCGAGCGAGGCCTGTGAAAGTTGAGACTCGCCCAGCTGAAATTCAGTGCGAGTCTGTCTCCTTGTAGGGTGCGTTTTAGTCTCATCCGTGCCCTACTTGGAGACCCTCCGCCTCGTCTGGGGCAGACTGAGGACCTGTTGTGTCAGGACGGACTGGAGGGCTCTGGAAAAACGTGTTGGTGTTGCCCTGCAGCGTGGAGCTTTGCTCCCACCTCTCCCAGAGGTCTGGGATGCTGTTGGGGTGCTCTCCTTGTGTAGTGGGTGACCTCTTCCAGCTCTGGGGTCTCAGCTGCTGGAGGTGGTGGCAACTGTGGCATGGGACATCTCCAGCAGCCCCTCTCCTGGTCTTAGCTCTACACCTCCTGGCTGGAGGGCCAAGAGCGGCTGTAGATGGGCATGGAGCTGCGGGTGTAGGTGGGTTTGAAGCACACCTCGCACTTGCTCAGGAGGAGCTTACCCTGAGGAGCAGGGAGGGCTTCACAGCAGGGCTGTCCTTACCGTGCCGCTTGTATCTGGATGACCTTGGGACTCTTGTGGTAGGTGGGATCGTCCTGCGTGTTCAATAGTCGTGTGGCCGCAGTGATGTACTGCTGCTCTGGGCCTCGGGGGGCTGGGGAGGAAACACAGGCATGTCTCGAACACAATGCACGTCCCCAAAATAGGGACACTGGGGACCCGGTGTCAAGCTTGAGAGGCCACTTGAGACCCGGCGCTTGACTCGGTTGAACACAGGACGTCTGGCATTTTTGTAGCCGAGGGCGATGAGGCTGCTGGGAGGGGCAGCCCCGCTTCCCTCCACGCCAGCTCCTGCCCGGTCCTTGGCACTGGCTCCAGGGCTCGTCTTCTGCCCGCCCGGCTTCCTGCAGTGCCTGGCGTGTGCTGTGGTGGGAGCAGGACAGCCCTTTCCTCTGGCAGGCGGCCACTAGATAAGAGGGTCTGCCGTCAGGGCCGTGGTCTGCCTCGAGACAAGGGAGGCTGTCCCTAAAACCAGTAAGGGCCGTCAGCAGGCGCTGGCACGGTGGCTGGGAACAGGGATACATTCCCGCTTCGCTTCCCCCTCGGATCGGGGACGTACTGAGCCGGTGCCATGTCTGTAGCTGACCTTTGAGGTTCATGAGCTGCTCTGCAGACCAGGCTCCCACCCTGTCCCACGGCGGGTTTTCCATGGCGTGCTGTTGGGCAGCAGCGTGGCTCCTTTGTCCTTGGGCTGACCCCGCTCAGGATAGCGTTGCTTTGCCCATCTTGAACTGGGAGAGGCAGCGAGCAGGTCGTCTCTGTCAGCATTATAAATACATCTACCACGCTGGCTTGCAGGCGTCTGCACACGGCATCTCGGCGTTGCTGCTTGTCTATAAATACATCTACCACGCTGGCTTGCAGGTGTCTGCACACGGCATCTCCTCGGCGTTGCTGCTTGTCCGGGCTGAAGAAGGCTTGGTCTGAGTTACACAGCTCCTCTGGGCCCGTGGTCACCCCCGTCTTGAGCACCTTCCCGGCTTTCCCAGTCTTCCCCTGTCCCCGTGAGATGGGCGGATCAGAGCTTGGCATCAGGGTGGTGATTCCAGGAAACGTGGTGTCTTCCTGGGTGGGAGCAGGCAAGAGTCTGCCGGGTACGTGAGGTGGGGAGCGTGCTGTCTGCCTTGCTCCGGATACTGCCCAGGCTCTGCCCTGCTGCTTGGCCCCAGACAAACCTGAAATGTTCTGTTCTTGTCCTCATTTCTACCCTTGCATAATTGATGCTTTTAGTAAATGTTGCCGCCTCGCTGGTGTCCCTTTTCCAGATGACCGGTGCTGACCAGTGCCGGTTCCTGGGGTCTGATGTCCACCCCACCACAAAGACAGACTTTCTGATCCTGACCGGGTGTGCCTCGGCGGGAGCTCCCAGCTCCCTCCTCCCTTTTCCTGTGCATCCTTGCGTCCTCCCTGGTGCCGGCTCCCACCAGGACATGAACAGCAGCTGTGACTGGAGGCGAGTTCCCGGAGATGGGAGGCACTGGGGAGGACAAAGCGCTGCTTCGGAGTCGCAGCGGTATCCTGCCTTCCAGCTATAGGAAACACTTTCCAGCTGGCCACGACCTGTGTAATCGGATGCCCTGCGCTGGCTGCTCTGGCTCCCAGCAGCTGCTGGGGGTGTGTTTGGTTTGTATTTGCTTTCACCTGCAGGGATGTGCAGAAATACTTGCCCAAATAGAGCACCTCCGTGGTAGTGAGGCATCTCCTCCGAGGCTGGGGAGAGGGCTCTTCTGAAATCTCTGGTCGATGCTCGCGTGCAGCTTAAACATGTTGTCTTCTCCTGGGTGGTCACGAGAAGCAGAGGGAGAGCATCTTGGCTCCTGCTGCTTCTTGCCATCTGGGTGTCTCTACCCCTGCTGCCTTCCACCTCTGTGCATGTCCCGGTCGTGGCTCCTACGGGTTTTGAGGATGGAGCAGCATGAGGGAGTCAGGCTGGTGGCAAGGGGCGTTGCTGGGGGATCATCTCTTTGGGGAGCTCATCCAGGGCAAGCGATGGCCGTGGCCTGGAGCTGGGGGATGAGAGGGGTCACTTATTCGGGGTGAAGGCTTCACAACCATGGAAGCTAACGGTCCTGCTCTGGACCTTTGGCCTCTGGTAACCTTCACTGTACACCAAACTGCTGCTTCGCTGCTGAGGCCGGCATGGGAAAGGACAGATCCTGCAGCAGCGCTTAATGTAACACAGATTTTTCCTGGGCTCGCATGCCTGTGTCGAAATAGTTTTGCTGTTGTGGGTTTTGCTTGGTACAAAATAACTCTACCATGTAATTGGGTAAATACTTGCTTTGCTGTTTGGTTAGAGAATGGCAGACAAAGCTAAAGCTTCCTAAAACTGCATCGCTCGCACAAGACGCTGGCTGAAGTAATGATATCAGCTTTCAAAAGTGTAACTTGCACTCTGTAAAACTTTCCATGATGGAAGCCCTGACCCAACGCGAGTCTGGTTCCAGCCCCAGATAAAAGCATGAGGTATGTCTGACCCTGCAGCCCCCATTAGCTGTGTTTTGAAGAGCAACACCGAATACTCTGGGTTTAAGCCTCTGTCTCTTTTGTGTGTGTAACATCTAGAAAGCAGAGAAAGTTGTTTTGTTTTGGAGGTGCAGCCTGTTTCTGTGCTGGTGAAAGCCTGAAGCCACGCAGGGCTAGCGCTCTGGGACGAGATGGTGTCTGTTTAGCCCAGAGACCTCCTTGAACTTGAGCAGTTTCCATATTTCCAGCATGCTGCCTCAATGCACGGGGACTCGGCAGGCTGGCTGGGCCGGCAGATGCGAAGCTCTGCCCTGTGGGATGTGTTTCGGTCTGCGGCTCACCTCCACGGACCCGTGGCAGGCTGCAGAGCCCGGTTCTCCAGGGATATGACCAGGAAGCCCCCAGGTTTGCTGTGGGACCACCAGGATCACAAGCCTTAAAGCGGTGACTCATCTCCTCAGTGGCGGCTCTTCTGCAGAGCCCTAATCCTTTCCCCAGCCTGTGGCATCCTGCTCCCAGGACAGCGTTTCAGTCTCGCACAGGCTTAATCTCCATTTATTTTACTTTTCCCAAAGCCATATCAGCCTCCAGTGCCTCTTGATCCTTTTGCCCTAGGATTTAGTCGCAGCAAAAAAAGCCAATCGGGGGAGAATGTGCTCTGCAGAACCACAGAGTTTAACGTGGCTCCAGAGCTGCGCTGTGGGGGGTGTAAGGAGAGGCGGCCGCAGGCCTCGATGCTCTCGGTGACCACAGAAAAGCGCTCACCTCATACTGACCAAACCGGGAAAACGAGGTATGAGGTTGCACTTATCCCAGTACTCAATCGGCTCTGTGCCCCAGGGCTAGCTGGGTGCTTTATCTTGGCTACCGTAGGGAACAACAGTTGTATGCCGCTAAATCCTTGTAGGTAATCAGAACATACTCGTAGGCGACGCAGACGGGTCAGCATCGCTGTGAAACTTCACAAACCTCAAGCCTCGCATTCAGCAAAGGTCTTCAGGTCTCGTTTACGCTCAGCCTGCAGAAGGTGCTAAAAATACAGCAGCAAATCCTGCTTCGTAGGAAGGTGCGCTGCTGCCTGGGGAGCAGTCTCAAGAACCAGGTTTCAGCTGGAGTTTCCTAGCAGCAAAGCCATGGCTGGCCGATACCTGAGAAGTTTTTATTTGCCCATTTTAGGTTTGGGTACCAACGCTGCAATGGCAGCTACGGTTCGCGGTGCCCAGCTGCATTGGCACCTGCCTGAGGTCTTGTGTTCCAGTGCTGCTGGTCGCTGCTGATGGCTTCTCTGATGGCATCTCCTGTTAATCATCTCTGGCTTGTGCCCTTACGGACACCTGTAGTAGTTGTCCAACCTGACCCATGTGGGTATTTTCTAGCCAAAGTTAGGGTGGGAACAAGGTGCTCTCATGTGGCAGTACGTATCCTGAGAGCTCTGCTTGACCAAGATATTGCTGAGGGTCTGTAGGTAGAGAGCAGAACGGGAGCAACCTTCTCCCCAGCCAATACACCTGGCAAAGGTGAGTGGGTTAATGCATTTGAAACTTCACTCTGCATCCGTTTGAGTTTGTAAGTCTCCTGCTGTTAGAATCATAGAATAGTTTGGGTGGGAAGGGACCTCTAAAGGCCATCTAGTCCAACCCCCCTGCTGTGGGCAGGGACATCTTCCACTAGATCAGGTTGCTCAGAGCCCCATCCAACCTGACCTGGAATGTTTCCAGGCATGGGGCATCCACCACCT